TCTCTCCGTCTACTATAACTTTTGTACATATATATACAGTTTTGACATATAGACACAAGTCTAGTGGGTTCTACCTAGGAAGTATATATATATATATACTATACCATACGTATATTATCATATAAATAAATACACGTTAAAGTACATATAGGTAATCCAGCAGTTATATTGAAGAGTTCGTCGAACCCGTAACACGTAGTATATAACTATATAGCGGCATGGTAAAAAATTGCTCTCTATCTATATCTATTTATATATATAAATATTGTGACGTATTTTTACGCGATCGACCTCACCGGAAAATGCAAGACCGACCGGCGCACACCTTTACGCGATTCCTACGCGTTCCAGGCAACCCAGGGGCTAACAAAGTTCACTCTCGAAAATACCTGAGGTATTGTTGGGCGCCAGGTTCCAAAACGGGAACCACGTATCTGTTTCTACGATATATCTTCGCGTGCCTACGTTGGCTAACTCAGCTACGCGGAGGCGGCGGGATTCGGAACAATAGGTCGGATGGGTCGGACGATCACGCGACACACAAAAAGATTCGGACACTTCGATCTCAAGAAAATGATTCGGTTTATTTAAGAAAATCGGCTGCGCGAAGCGCGACGATTTCGTACAATACCGAATCGATGAATTACAAAAAAAAATAGTAATTAATCTAGATCGAAAAGACAAAAACGAAATACAATCAAACAATATTAACTGGTACGTCGCGTACCATACGAATTCAAATCAAATATCGTAACACGGCTAATCCGCGTTTACCAAAATACGACAACCGACCGTCAAGGACCTGCAGTCGTCGTGGTTGAGTACCAGCTGAGTAGAGCGCGTTGCTGCCGCGTGACGTCAAGCTGTCCCGCGTTGCGCGCGCCTCCTGGGCCAGTAGAGCTGCTGTCCGCAGATAGCGCGAGTGTCGACCCTCGCGTGTCGCAGCTCCCTTCCTCCAGGGACTCCAGCTGGCTCCATCTCTCTCGTTCTCCGCGTCTTCACGGGCACGGCGAGCGAGCACCTATTCGAACTCCGGCAGAGTACACGCAAAACAAAAGAAAACAATAAAGTAATCTATCGAAATTGCAATTAGGCCCTTGCGGTCGGTGGATCCTGCCTGGACTTTGCAATGGCCTTTCGGCCCGTATCGCGTTTCGGCGTGATTTTCCGCCGAGGACAAGACGGGTGAAATCCACCACGTCACAATATATACCAATACGATCATATATTTCGTATACGTTTTTAAAAGTACATAAAACCTTACTCATAGTAATACCTACTATGTAATCTTATATACTTCATATTTATCATACGGTGTAATTACGTAAACAGTAGACTGACATATATATATATATACACACCATTTGTTTTAAAAGCCATTGATAGTCCACTGACGTATATGTATATACATGGCGTTGATCATGGATTAGAGTCCTTGATGATAGCGTGAGTGCGTGAGATCGATATAACATACCTATATATACATAGTCGTTGCTTAGGCACCCACATTCATTAAGGATGTAGTTCAGTGTCAGGGGTTAAATGCCAGTAGTTGGTTTCATAGGTCATAGACACAGGCAGAAATATCCCATCGACTGATAACGACGATAGTAACTCGTTATCATTTCGTTCTCCATTCTCTAGTATGACGTCACGTGTGCGCTATCGACTCCTTGAAACGCGAAATCGTACGGATTGATTTGACAGCCCTGCGATCTCGTGAACAGAACTTTGACCCCTTCCCAGTGCCCTCTGTCGGGACTGGCACGAAGATCCTTCCAGAGGGGTCGGCACCAGTAAGAAATATTAATTTCAAAGCCCACGCGATACAAATTTAAAACTTTTCGTCGGGTTCGTCGTCCTGGAACCAGAGTTAACGAATGTGATCTTGCCGTTTAAGGGATGAACGTACGAAGTGGATATGGGGTGGGGGGGGTGGAGGAGGACGAGAAAATTAGACTTTTCTTTTTTAAGGATTTTTCTCGTAATCATATACCCTTTTCAGGGATGGGGGTGCAAAAAATTGCCTTGTTCGGCTCTTGCCTACGTCATCCCCTCTTAGATAGCCGGATCATTTTTTTTTGTCCCTCCTAAGGGTAGTCGCACGTATAACGGGATATGTGTATATCTACTTCGCTGTACTACGGCTTCGAATGAGTTCAAGAGCGACGGGGGCCATAAGGGTTGTCACGGGGCTGAGCTCTCTCTGGCTTAGTCTAGGGGGATGGTTATATAGCAGCGCGCGCGGACCAAGCTTACCGAGAAATTGCTATACCCGAGCGACCAGAACGGTCTCCGTGTATCGTTCTTATTTTCTCAGTCAACCGGGAAATAAGAATTTGCTGGGTTAAAGAAAAACGATGGGAAAACGGCAACTCGTGTTTCGCTTCATCACAGTGCGCGTGGGTCGTGTATAACGTCGCTACACGTGCACAAGCCCGTGTAAGTCTAATGGTCCTGTACCACCCCCCTCTGCCCCTTAAACTCCGTCTACCTTTCCCATCCGTGTTGGCAGCTCATCCGCCATTGTTACCTCGCACTCGGTAGCTGCGAGCACACGGGATCCTGGACGGGTCTTTTTTTCACGCTGCCTTGCCTGATTCACCCGCATCTCCATAGACGTAACTGCGAGAAATCCCTATAGTCGTTTGTTACCACCCTGGGTCCATCGGGATTGTCTGTACAGTTCCCGCAAGTAGTAACGAACGGATATTTCGTAGGGGCGAGAATGGGTAGGGCGATCAAAGTCGTTTTAAAGTCATAGAATTTTAACGATAAAACATCGAAAAAAGTTTTGACTATACGTGTACCCAGTGAACGGGATAGAGAATTTGGTCTGAGGGTGACGATGGTATAACTTTATACTTTTCTCTACTGTGGATATATTCAGGTCTGCCGTATCTCTGTCTTGCTCTTGCGCACGGGAGCCCCCGTAAGTCCGTCTCTCTCGCACTCGCTACGAGCATAGGAAAGTCGTAATTTCTTTTATAGGGGATCCTTTCGGCTCGTCTCGGTTTCTGCGGTCGGGTCCTTACGTACAGGTTGCCGATGAACATCGGAAGGCGTTTTATGACAGCTGTCAAATTTGCCAGATCTCGGTCGACCTTTGGAGCTGGATTTCACTGTGTACGCTTCTGCGTGTTGAAGGGTGAAAATAGACAAGGGTTTAAGCAACCGTTATCGAGAGAGCAAACAACGTGTGCGTGTTTGGTAAGTCGGGGGGGTCGATTTTCAGGCTGCGCTCGGTGGTGAATTTTGCGATAGGAAATAGAGATGGGAAATCGAGAATCGCCGGTCTCGCGTACCAAACCGTAATATCCCCACTTGGACTATCTCGAGTCGACCCCTAATCCGTGCGCGACCTACCCCAAGACTCGCGTCCCTGAAAAAAAAAAGATTGCGTGTTATTGTCGCAACTGGGTTAAATTTCTCATTAAAATAACTATAACCTCTTCTGCTCTCCGCTGGCAGCAGCCTCTCTAGTATCTGGCCTATCGTCTCATCCCCAATCAGCTTTACCTACA